TGATTGGAAATGTCTTAATACCAGTATTATCTACTAACTGGTTGACAGTTACCTTTTAAGCCAACTCTGTATGGGAAGGTCTGGTAAAGGGATTTTTAATGACTGGAGTGGTGCTGGTGCTGCTAAAGTGTGGGGGTCAGTAATCTTCCGGCACCATTGTTGCCAGGATTTCATCATCAACAGGGAGACAAACTATTGGAAGAGATGAGGGAGGAATTCATCTATAGAAAGTGTATGATGGAGCATGTGGATGCACATGCGCTCTCGAATGATAGCCAAATTGGAGCCGGTTTTCTTACCTTGCATTCTAAGCCCTGGGAGAGGATCAATGACCTATAATATTTGTCTATACAAGGAATGCCCAAACCATCCCTATTATGTGGCAGCCATGACCCTTAGGGGTTTTCTTTTCCACATGTGAGCGTTACTTGTGTTTTGCAGTCGCTGTGTACTTTATTTGGCACAAGTATGGGGAGAGTACTGAATAGGTAAAGGATATGAGGTGTTGATGGTGTTTTGATGGTGTTGATCCTACCCAGCCATGGCACCTCGCGGACCTTCCACTGATCTAATTGTTTATTCAATTTGTGCGCAAGGAGTTCGTGATTCTCTGGGATTTGTAGATGTTTAGATTTTTTAAGTTTGATATCCAGATATGTGAGGGATTTCTCCCGCCAGTTGAATTGGTATTTCAGTTTTTATTGTTGCAAGAGTTCCACCTGCACACCTAGGTTTTGGATGCGTTATTTTTGTAAAATCCCCATAAGTCCCCAATAGTTTAGTTGGGAGATGTCAAAAATAGTAAAATATTGTCTGCAAATAAAGCCAGTTTATTTTCGCCATCTGGAGTAGGTAACCCTTTTACCGTGAAGGTGTGTTTTATTTTGCGGATTAGGGGTTCTAAACATAAAATGAAGATGAGTGGGGAAAGGGGACACCCTTGGCGTGTGCCATTCAGGATTGAAAAAGCTGAAGACACAAAGTCAGTATTGAATACTTTGGTTGAAGGTGAGGAATATAGGACCATGACTAGTGGTAGAACTACCAAGGTCGCAGGGGTCACAGTTGCGTCCAGGCCTGTCACTCCAGGGGGCCTGGCCGCCCTGCCGACCCCTGCAACCAGGGTGCCCGCAGGCACTGTAGTGTGATCACTATATGTATCTGCATTTGTCTATATGTGAATCTCTCTGTATGTGTGTCTATGTATCCACATGTGTGTCTGTGTATCTGTATGTGTTTCAGTGTTTGCATATATAGAAGTGTCATTCTGTGTATCTGAATGTGTGTCATTCTGTGTGACTGTGTATTACCATGTGTGTCCATGTATGTATCTGTATGTGTTATATAACAATAAAATTTCATATAACATAACTATAAAATTAGTTCATCCATTATCATTACATTCTTTACACTTTCTTGACTTACACAAAAACATTAAGCAAAAACTATTTGGAAAAGGTGTATCGGAGATGGATGGAGGAGGGGGAACAAGCCAAATACCAGAAATAGGAAAAAAAACAGCTCCCAATCCTGGAAAATAGCAAAATATTACTAGTTATCATTTCCTTTCTTTTCTATTTTTCTTCCATTCCTCACCCTTCTTGCTCTTTCCCTCTTTCCTCTTTTCATTTTCCCTTCTCCATTTAGTTTTGTTCTTTAACAATATCCAACATTACAAAACAAAAACAGATATAAAACAAAAAAACACATTATAAACATATAGCAGCCTCTTCCTTTTATATAAATCCCATACACCGTAGCATTACAATATCCTATATAGGTGGAAAGAGGTTCTCCTAACATCTAATGCAAAAACATATAACTGTCTGGCCAGGCAGCTCCACAAGAGGATTAATACTCACAAAACCCACTCATCAGATTATCAATTTATTTTTGCTCATTCAGGGATTAGGTTAATCCATGTATCCCAGTTATGATTTTTTTTCAGAGTAACATTTTGGTACATGGCTATTCGTTTTGCCATTTTAAGTTCAAAAAGGAGATGTTTTTTTACCTCTTTCCAGGTTGGGAGTGTTGAGGATTTCCATTTTCTGGCTATATAATCTTTACTGCCAGCAAAATATGAACTACAAAATCGTATTCAACTTTAGACATTTTTGGGAAGATTAGATGTAGTAAACATGTAGGTTTCAGTGGTAGTCTAATCTTACTGATATTATACATTTTTTGTGCTATCTGTTCCCAAAACTTCCAAATTGGCTCACACTTCAACCAAATGTGCATCTGATCCCCTTTATATAACTCATCTCCAACACCTATCAGTATGATCAGAACACATCCCGTTAAGACGACTGGGATCAGGTAAATACGATAATTAAGCTTTAAATGCATCTCTGTAAAATTCAAGCATATTACCAAGTTACTTAATTTCTTAAAGGCTCCATTTAAATCCTTTTGGTCAATTTTAACCTGTATATCTCTATCCCATTTCTCAACAACCCCAGTCATACTCCATCTCTTCCTAATTCTCAACAGTTCTATACATAAGGCTAGCATATCCTTAGCCTCTGTCTTTTTTTTGATTACTTGTATGTTTGTGATTGCGTCTTTAGGTTTGAAACATAGATGCTTCATCATATATTCTTTTATTCTTAGATATGTGAAAATCTCTCCTTTCAACTCCTGTACCTTTTCACGAATTTCTATCAATGTTTTTATATGTTTTTCAGTTGATGTTGGTAATCTACTTTACTTAAAGGGACTCTCCAGTGCCAGGAAAGCAATGCCGCACATGTGCATTAGACCTCTCCATAGGAAAGCATTGAAAATGCTTTTCAATGCTTTCCTATGGGGATTTTAGCGAGGCTGGAGGTCCTCACACAGCGTGAGGACGTTCAGCGACGCTATAGCACAAGTTTTCTGTGCTATGGACTAGTGATGCACCGAACGGTTCGCCGGCAAACAGTTCCCGGCGAACATAGCGTGTTCGCGTCCGCCGCGGACGGCGAACACATGCGCGGTTCGATCTGCCCCCTATTCGTCATCATTGAGTAAACTTTGACCCTGTACCTCACAGTCAGCAGACACATTCCAGCCAATTAGCAGCACACCCTCCCTAGCAGACCCTCCCACCTACTGTAAGGCATCCATTTTACATTCATTCTCAAGCTGCATGCTTAGTGAGAGGAGGGAAAGTGTAGCTACTGTTGATTAGATAGGGAAATGCATAGCTAGGTTAGGGTATACAGTGTCCACTACAGTCCTGAAGGACTCATCTGATCTCTGCTGTAAGGACAGCACCCCCAAAAGCCCTTTTTAGGGCTAGAACATCAGTCTGCTTTTTTTTTCTGTGTAATGTAATTGCAGTTAGTTGTCTGCCACTGCTGCCAGCTTCTGTGTCAGGCTCACAGTGGATACTGTGCCCAGTGCCACCACTCACTCACTGGTGTCATAATAGCTTGGATTTAAAAACAAAAAACTTTTTTCACTGTTATAGATTGAATAGCAGTTAGTTGTCTGCCAGCAGGTGTGTCAGGCTCACAGTGGATACTGTGCCCAGTGCCACCACTCACTCACTGGTACCCGGACGAAATTTATTTTCACAAAAGGCAATCCCCAACCAGTACTCGATTGTGCAAAAGGAAATAATGGCATGTCTGGCACACAGTGTTGGGGCAAGGGTCCATCTGACCACTGATACCTGGTCTGCAAAGCATGGTCAGGGCAGGTATATCACCTACACTGCGCATTGGGCAAACCTGCTGACGGCTGCCAAGCATGGAATGCATGGCTCTGCAGAGGAGTTGGTGACACCGCCACGACTTGCAGGCAAGCCTGCTGCCACCTCCTCTACTCCTCCTACTCCATCCTCTTCCATAACCTCCTCGGCTGAGTCCTCTTTTGCTGCTGCGTCTTGCTCCACATCAACGGATAGGGGACGTAACAGGGATTAAACTGATAAGAATAGTACTACTTAACACACCACTCCTATCTGGTGGCACATTAGATTGCACGCGCAGTGCCCCAAATTTGTTGTGATCTGTGAGTAAGGTAAGCGGTTGTCCATACAAGTAAGGTTGCAGCTTTTTGAGGGCCCACACCACCGCCATGCACTCCTTTTCAATGGCAGTGTATCTACTTCCCTGGGCAAAAGTTTCCGGCTTAGATAAGCCCCGGGTTGCTCGCCACCATCTGCTCCGACTTGGCTCAGTACTACTCCCAATCCAAACATAGAAGCGTCTGTATGGACGAGAAAGTGTTTAGTTGGATCAGGAGCAGAAAGTACAGGTGATTTAATGAGCGCCGTCTTGAGCTGTTGGAAGGCCTGTTCACACTCTGGGGCCCATACTATCTTGGGGAGGTTTTTACGCGTTCCTATATGGCACTTACTGGGCTTTAGGGTCAGTCCGGACTCCCTAATCCGGTCTAGTACGGCTCCTATGTGGGTCAGGTGTTCGGGCCAGGAGCAGCTAAAAATGGCTATATCATCCAAGTAGGCGCAGGCATACTCCTGAAACCCATCCAGTAGCCGATCTACCATCCTCTGAAAGTTAGCGGGGCATTCTTCATCCCGAATGGCATGACCTTAAACTGATACAGGCCAAACAAGGTGACAAATGCCGACTTGTGGATGGCGTCCTCGGCTAATGGAATTTGCCAGTACCCCTTGCACAGATCTATTGTGGTGAGGTACTGGCCTCTGGCCATTTTGTCTAGGAGCTCGTCTATCCGGGGCATAGAATAGGCGTCTGAGGTTTTTCACATGGAGCATGCACTTGCCTCCCGTGCCTGTGACCGCACCGATCACAAAGGTGGTATCACAAACCTGCTCTACCACCTTGTATGGGCCCTGCCAGGAAGTCTGCAGCTTGTCATTGTGGACAGTGTCAATCCATATCTGCCAAGTGACCCTATGTAGGGGGAACAGTCTCTATTCTGCTCTGTGTCAGTGTGTATCATGGTCTCTGAGGACAGATGTCAATCCATATCTGCCAAGTGACCCTATGTAGGGGGAACAGTCTCTATTCTGCTCTGTGTCGGTGTGTATCATGGTCTCTGAGGACAGGTGTCAATCATATCTGCCAAGTGACCCTATGTAGGAGGAACAGTCCTATTCTGCTCTGTGTCAGTGTGTATCAGGGAGGACAGGTGTCAATCCATATCTGCCAAGTGACCCTATGTAGGGGAACAGTCTCTATTCTGCTCTGTGTCAGTGTGTATCATGGTCTCTGAGGACAGGTGTCAATCCATATCTGCCAAGTGACCCTATGTAGGGGACCAGTCTCTATTCTGCTCTGTGTCCGTGTGCATCAGGGGCTCTGAGGACAGGTGTCAATCCATATGTCAAGGTGTCAATATGTCATATGTCAGGTGTCAATCCATATTGATTGTGATTTAGGAATGTTAGGTGATTTCTGCCCCTTTATGGATTAAAACCAGACTCTGTATCAACTGTGTAATTTTCCATGGGAGTTTTGCCATGGATCCCCCTCCGGCATGCCACAGTCCAGGTGTTAGTCCCCTTGAAACAACTTTTCCATCCCTATTGTGGCCAGAAAGAGTCCCTGTGTGTTTTAAAATTCGCCTGCCCATTGAAGTCTATGGCGGTTCGCCCGGTTTGCCGGTTCGCGAACATTTGCGGAAGTAGGCGTTCGCCGTTCGCGAATCGAAAATTTCGTGTTCGCGACATCACTATTGTTTTCCTAAGTTCCCTCTGTGACAGCAATGTCTATGACGGGGACCAAGACGACTTGGGATGCACAGTGTTCAGGAGAGCAAAGGAGGACAATCAGGTAGCAATGTCAATTGAAGATGGGCTCTTCCTGGAAGTTATGAACAAGAGTGAACTTGAAAAATCCAACGAGGAGCAGACTCATGCTCAAGCGCTTGTCAACGTTCTCAAGGAACAACTTAAAGAAGCCAAAGAGATGACAGATTCCAGCAATGGTGAACATCTCTGCAAAGAACTGCGAGATGCACACCGTGAACAGCTCATGGGGATCCGTCGAGAAGAGGAAATGGAAATGTCTGATCATGACAGCAGGTACATCCCAAATAAAAAAGTCAGAGTCGACGAATCAGCTTTAGCAGCTCAGGCTTATGCACTAAAAGAAAAAAATGACAGTCTACGGTGTCAGCTGGATGCATACAGGAATGAGGTGGAGCTTCTAAAACAAGAGAAGGGACATCATGGTCGGACTGAGGAAAGCCTAACAAAAGACCAGTAACTGCAGTTTTTACCACAAGCAATGCAAAATCTGCAACGACTAGTAGCTATGAAGGAAGAGTTAAACAATAACAGAGTGTTGAGGATCAGGTGGTCCACCTGCCCAGAACAATGGCATTTTGTACCTACAGACTACAATCCTGCAGACCTAGCAACCATATCTGTTGCAGCCAGCCATCTCGAAAGTACTTCATGGTTCACAGGTCCCACCTTTCTGCGCAGTCCCGACTGCAACATTAATGACTTTGCCACATTTAATCTAATCAATGTCGACAGGGATCATGGAAATCCGCCTTCAGGTTTCTACGTCAGTCACAACAACTTCTCTCAACCAGTTTAAAACTCACCGTTTTAGCAGATTCTCCACCTGGAAGTCACTAGTTTGAGCTATCACTTGCCTAATCCACATAGCTCAGCCCTACAAAAAGGAGCCACCATCTCATGACACCTGCAGAGGTTGGCATCACTGTGAAAAAGTCTACACAGCAACTGACCTAGAACAATCTAAAAATTAGATAATATCTGTTGTACAGAGAGAAGTCTTCGCCAAAGAAAACGACTGTATTGTTAACCAGAAACCTGTTCCTAAAGACAGCGTTTTGAGGAAACTTGATTCCATCCTGGATGAAAATGGCCTGTTGAAAGTAGGAGGCTGTTTAAAAGAAGGCAAGTTAGAGTTTCTGGAGAAACATCCTTTAGTGATCCCATGCCACCACCACATTGCCTACTTACTCATCCAACACTATCATGACCAAACGAAACACCAGGGCCGACTGTTTACTGAAGGAGCTTTGCGAGCTGCTGGACTGTGGATAGTTGGAGCTAAGAGATGTGTGAACAAGTTCCTTTTCAAGTGTGTTATCTGCCATAAACTTTGCAGAATGTTACAGACACAAAAGATGGCCAATTTAAAATCTGACAGACTTAGCATGGATCCGCCTTTTACTGATGTTGTACTCATGGGAGATTGCCAGGCACAAAGGAATGAGTAGCCGTTAGGTCTGATCACCAGAGTACTGCCAAGCGAGGATAAGTGCATCCGTAAAGTCGAAGTCAAGATCTTCCAGCAGAATGAGGCCAAAGTATTTTTAAGACCAGTTGCCGAACCTGTTCTGTTGTTTTCTGCAGAAGACTCGGTCAGTGACATCACATAACGTCAGACAGGGAGTGTTCTGTCCTCCAGACTTTATTCATTATATTTGTGCTTGTTGTTTAGAATAGTATGTTTAATAAAGTTGTTAGAAAGCACAGTATTATGGGCAGAACTTGTACAGGAAGTGTATCAGCCTCCATTTTGGGAAGATACAGTAAACATCAAGCCATGTACTTCTCATCTCTAGCCATCATCCCTAAAAGAGAGCTTAAAAATTTAAACTGGCTTGTTCTAATAAATTTGAGACCAAAGAAATATGGTATCTGAAGTTTATGAAGCAGGAAGGTTTAGCTCGCTGTCCTAGTGACAGAACAAGCACTATATTTAACCCTGTAACTTTCCAAAGACACCATAAAACCTGTACATGGGGGGTACTGTTTTACTCAGAAGACTTCGCTGAATACAGATATTAGTGTTTCAAAACAGTAAAATGTATTACAACGATGATATTGTCAGTGAAAGTGACCTTTTTTTCAATTTTTCACACACAAATGGCACTTGATACAAATGGCACACGTATGATATAATTGTTGTGATACGTTTTACTGTTTTGAAACACTAATATTTGTGTTCGGTGAAGTCTCCTAAGTATAACAGTACCCCCAATGTACAGGTGTTATGGTGTTTCAAAAGTTACAGAGTCAAATATAAGGCTTGCGTTTCAGTTTTTTCACATTGAAATTCGCCAGGTTGGTTATGTTGCCCTTGAGACCGTATGGTAGCTTAGGAATGAAAATTACCCCCAGGAGGGCATACCATTTGCAATAGTAGACAACCCAAGGTATTGCAAATGGGGTATATCCAGTCTTTTTTAGTAAACACCTAGTCACAAACACTGGCCAAAATTGGCGTTCAAATTAGTTTTTTGCATTTTTCGCACACAAACAAATATTAACACTAACTTTGGCCAGCTTTTTTTGCCGCCCCCCCCCAGAAAGTGCCGCCCAAGGCAAATACCTTGTTTGCTTCACGGTAAACACATCCCTGGTCACAATACTCGCCATTGAACTGCTCTTATCACAGGTCGTGTGGGCCAAATTCTCTGTTCGGCCATGCGGCCTGTCTACCCACACACATGGAGGTGAAGGAGGAAATACGTGGTCGAACCGCTCCTCCTTTCGGTTCTTCCCATAAGTATTTGGATGCTGCCAGGTCAATTGATGCATCCTTTTATATATATATATATATATATATATATATATATATATATATATATATATATATATATATATTTATTTAAATTGTGAAACATCACATCTGGTGTTAAAGTGCCCATATCAGAGAGACACCACATTCTTGTACTTTATGGAGTTCCAGATATGATGTGGACCAATCAGAGGTTATGTAAGGCTATAAAAGCTAGTTTAGGCCCTTATGCAATGCCTTAGTATAGTAAGTCTCTCTTAAATTTCTGATATTATTCTTGGCTTGTGTATTGATTTTAAGTATTTCTGGTATCCTGACTCTGCTTGTTTATTCATATATCCATATTTTTATTATCCTGACCATAACTATTTCTGACTTTGTCTCTGTGTTTATATAACGATAAATCCAGCCACTGGATTGAATATATAGACTTTCTTTAATACTGTTTTGATTTCCTTCTGAATGATTCTCAATCATTGTTCTCATCTAGTGATGTAAAAACACTCACATATTTACCAATGTCTATAATAACATTTTGGACACCGAGCAGTCATTCCGCCGCAGCTCCAGCCTTATTTGAAGACCTTTGTGTCAACTGAGAATCTAACTTTAACAAATTAGCCCTATGCCATTCTGCAGCTAAGGCTGCATTAGCATTGTCAAAAAGGCATATAGCTCTCTAAATCCATCCTCTTAAAATCGCAATAAAATATTAATAGAGGTACCTGTTTTTGAAGATTTTTCGGGAAAATCAAAAAGTATAGTTAAAGGACCTATAACATCTAGAAGTTTGTCTTGAAATGTTTTAAGGGATCTGTTCAGTTCTTTACATGGGCTCTTCTTGGATTAACTTAGATATTAAACTATCTTTGGATCAAGTTCCAAGGTCATACAGGCTTTTTGAGCAATAGTCTGTTTTGAGCATTCAGTCCTTAATATTTTTTCTTTCTGTTCTGTCCATTTGCTTCCTAGTACATTTTTCGATGAATTTCGCCACATGAGGAATTGGCACTAACAGGCATGTTAAATTCCTTCCTATAGAAACATAGAATCCCAATCTGAAAGTGGACCTTCTTGTTCGTCTAATAATTCTGAAGAATTATGTTATTATTCGAGGCATTCTCAAAATAGTCATCATCATCAGATAAATCTGAGTTGCTATTATAATTTATTTCCACAAAATCATCCTTTTCAAAATACTTACTATCTGAGGTACAAAAAGGATCAGCTTTTTTATTTGTAAATGTTTTCTGTTTATGTCATATATCCCACCTGTCATTATTGTCTTTGTGAGGCGTTAAATAATTTTTTTTTTGTCTTGGTCCAAAATTATCTTATATTTTGGTTACATTTCATATTTCATCAATATGTTTACATTTTTTCTGTAGCTTCTTGTTTGTTTGTTTTCTGAATTATTAGTAACATTATTCCTTGAACAAAAAGAATCAGAAGAATTATGGCTCTTTAGACTCGTTTAACACAATTTATTCAATGCCATGATAATGACTTTGACATTTTTAGCTTACTTGACATTGCTAAAAAAATAACCTTTTATATTCTCATTGATAGTCTCATCCATACTTGGATTTGTTCTTAAGGCAGATCTTCCATTGGGCTGGTATTATCATTATTATGTTCCTGTTTATTAATACAGTTTGGGTTTGAATGGCTTTATTTTAGTTTTTTTTTTTTATAAATACATATATAATTAAGTACAATACAGTTCAAGTGACAGCACTCGAAGGACTTTCTCCATAGATTTAGATAAAATAAATAAATAATAAAAACAACATTTCAGTTTACATCATAAACTTTTATCAGGATAAAATATAATTTAATACAAAAAAATATAAATGTTCCCAATTATAATAATTACAAGAGATATAGACATATCTGCGGTAAAAAACTGAAACTAACAGACCTTTTAGGTAATTTTATTATAAATGTATTACATAATAAATTGAATGATAATAAAATAACCACTTGAAAATAAATGTAAGTGTATTGTGAGCATTCAGCACAGTTAGAGGACAACTTAAGTAAAATGTCCCTGCAGCACACAAAGGAGCTTGTATGACTAGTTGAGAGGAATCCTATCAGTTTATGTCCCAGACATGTCAAACCAAACAGCTGATCAGACTCTCTGAAGCTGTCATCTCAATCTCTAATGTGCAAGCACAGTTTGAAAGAAGCGTAATTGCAATGAGCTCTGGATTGGATTGCAAAAAGATGACACCGAGCTCACGTCTGCTGTTAAGGAACACCAGTAAAATAAATAATTGGTAAAATACTAAAACTCTTATTTATCACTATGATTATGTGACTCAATATTTAAAGTAAAAATAATAACCAGAGTATTTTAGCTAAAATACTGTCAGGTCGGACTCAAATTCAACATAACATTATAAAATTTGATTTGGCCTTTCTAGGGGGTGAAAAAAGAAGATGGAAGAAAACATCTAATAGTAATTATTATTTTTTTTGTTTAGTTTAATTAGTTTAGGGTGAGAGGGGTAAGTAGGGATTTTTTTTTTTATTAGAAGTGACTAGGGACTTTGGGACTCTTTGTCAGTGGGGGGAGGGGGTGACTAGGGGCTTGAGCAACCCTAGTCACTGGGGAAGGAAATCATTTTTATTATTAGCTCCCATCTGGAAGAGGATAGGGGAGAGCAATAGGTCTTTTTGGGGGGTCTTTCAGTTTCTTAGTTCCCTAATCGTTGAGGAATTATTGAGAATAAGGATACCAAAAAGGTGCTATGTACTAAACTGCTCCCTAATTTTGAATCCTTAAATATGGCAATCACACAAAGGTACCAACTTAAGGAGTTATCTGGGGCCCGCAACACGCATCGGAATTTCATTCATATGAATAAAATTCTGAAAATGTGGGTGGCGCCCAAGTCTACAACTTATATTATTAAAAATAATTGATAACGAAGTAAATTAAAACTGTAGTATAAGAGACCAAGATTAATTTATTGCTAACATTTCTGCTCATCTACATAAAGGAGAAGCAAAGAAAATCATAGGGAAAAATCCATGAGCTAGTCACCACTCAAGTGGAATGGGCAGTGACCCTGCCTCTAGGAGACTTGTTAGCCAAGACTTTAAGATAAAGGCTTTCTTTATCATATAACTGGTTGGTGAGAGTGAAAATCAAAATATTTTGACCAAAATAGGGTCCAGAAAAATTAACAAACAATGAAGAGTGCTTCCTAAAGGATCTAGTGGCCTCAGCTTAATACTTAAGGGCACAAACAACATGCAACATTCATGTGGAAATCTCTTATTGTCATTCTCATTTGAAGGAGATATAGACAGAAAACATATGGGATGTGGCTATACAAAATCTAAATTGGAAACATAAAACAATACATAGTGTAACACAAAAAATAAAAACGATCATGTGCCACAATATGAATGCACTCACAGGATTGCAGCATATAATGTGCCCCAGGGCCGGCGCGTCCATAAGGCGGCACAGGCGGCCGCCTTAGGGCGCACCGGCCCGGGGGCGCAAATGTCCGGGTGGCCGGCAGGAGAGAAGCGCACAGCTCCCCTCTCCTGCCGGTCACTTCTTGTAGCGTGGCCGAGCGCCAACCTGCAGTGCCGCGGACTGTGTGGAGGGGGCGGGGATATGAACGTCATATCCCTGCTCCCTCTGTAGCACACAGCGCGGCTGGTGCCCAGCAGGGGCGGAGCTACGGGCCCCCTTCTATTCAGCATGGGAGGAAGTCCTCCCAAGAAGACTAGAGCAGGAGAAGGCAGAGAGGAGGGGGGCTGGGCAGGACCAGCTCCTCCAACTCCCAACTACCTTAGGCAGCACTTTGGATCCCAGGTAAGCCCCCCTTCTGAACCTGTTGGTCAGTGTGTCTGTGTGTATCTATGTCTGTCAGTGTGTGTGTATATGTCTGTCAGTGTGTGTGTGTGTGTATCTATGTCTGTCAGTGTGTGTGTGTGTGTGTGTATGTCTGTCAGTGTGTGTGTGTGTGTATGTCTGTCAGTGTGTCTGTGTGTATCTATGTCTGTCAGTGTGTGTGTGTGTATGTCTGTCAGTGTGTCTGTGTGTATCTATGTCTGTCAGTGTGTCTGTGTGTATCTATGTCTGTCAGTGTGTGTGTGTGTATATGTCTGTCAGTGTGTGTGTGTGTGTATCTATGTCTGTCAGTGTGTGTGTGTATGTCTGTCAGTGTGTGTGTGTATGTCTGTCAGTGTGTCTGTGTGTATCTATGTCTGTCAGTGTGTGTGTGTGTGTGTGTATGTCTGTCAGTGTGTGTGTGTATCTATCTCTGTCAGTGTGTGTGTGTGTGTATGTCTGTCAGTGTGTGTGTGTGTATCTATGTCTGTCAGTGTGTGTATGTATATGTCTCTGTCCATGTGTCTGTGTGTATCTAAATGTCTGTTAGTGTGTGTGTCTGTCTGTTAGTGTGTCTTTGTGTGTCTTCTTCCCTATCATTGTGTATGTGTGTCTGTATGTCACTGTGTGTTTATCTGTATGTCTGTCAGTGTTTGTGTGTATCTGTGTGTCTATCGGAATGTGTATCAGTTTGTGTATATGTATATCTGCATGTGTCAGTGTGTGTATCTTTGTGTATGTGTATCACAGTGTGTGCGTGTGTGGCAGTGTATGTGTATATGTGCATATATCTCAGCATTCAAACACCAACACTACACACAAATAAACACCTGCATGCAAACAACAACACTACATACAAACACACACCTGCATTCAAATGTCAACATTACATACAAACACACCTCTGTATCAGACACCAAAATTATATATAAACACACACCTACGTTCAAAAAACAACACTACACATAAATGCATGCTTGCATTCAAATGCAAACACTACATACAAACACACCGCTACAATCATACAAACATACTCCATACAAACACATGCTTACAGTCAAACACACAAATACTGCTCCATGCTAAATACAATCCTGCAAGCATGGGGAATCGGTAGAGCCCCAGCTTTCAAAGCATTGTTGAAGTTGCACGACAGATAGGGATCTATCTTTTAGCCATCCTGTGTACATACACAGACCGTCATACAGAGACCTACAGTATGTATGTCTCTGTATGACTGTGTGAATATATTCAAAAGGAATAAACGCAGGCAACACTCCAATAGTAAGGATGGTATATTTATTGATAGGTGAACCACCCCAAAGAAAGTGCGTCGTTTCGGCTCAGCAGAGCCTTGTTGCATGAGCTGAAACATCACACTTTCTATGGGGTGGTTCACCTACCAATAAATATACCATCCTTACTATTGGAGTGTTGCCTGCGTTTATTCCTTTTGAAGACTTTACTGGTGGATCCAGCAATGTCTGCCTGACATGGAGCATCCACCTCTGTTGATGGCCGGAGCATTTACACGGTGTCAGTGTGCAGGGTTCTTTGTTTGTCTGTGTATGTATGTCTCTGTATGCCTATCTCTGTTTCTTTATGTCTGTGTATGTATTTCTGTGAATGCCTGTGTCTGTATGAATGTATGTCTGTGTTTGTTTGTGTGCCTTTTATGACTGTGTGTCTGTATATCTTTGTGACTGTGTGCCTGAAAAATTATGTCTGTGTGCTTGTATGGTTGTGTGTCTGTATGTTTGTGTATTTGTGCATGTATGTATTTTAGCCTGTATCTATGTCTATGTGGGAGAAAAAGAGAGATAGATAGGGGCTGGCGGGGAAGTAAGAAATACATAAGAGGGGTTGTAGGAGACACACTAAAGGGGGGTGTAAGGCACAAAGGGGCCAAGGGGTAAGACATTCAAGAGAGTGGATATGCAACACTAATGGGGGTAAGAAATTCAAAAGGGGGCTACGAGACACAGAGGTGAAGATGCATTGTTTATTTATTTTTTTGGGGGGGGGGCGTCAAAATGCATCTTCGCCTGTGTAGTCAAAAATCCTAGCACCGGCCCTGATGTGCCCCAACGTGCCTCCCCCAATGTTGTTGAGTGGCTGTTTTCCTCCACGTCCACTTCAATAGGGTAGATTTGAAATAAGACTCCGGTATGTATAGGTAGAAATAATAACAGCAACTTTATTATAAAAGGGTGAACCATCACCACCAGTATAAAAATTTGAGGAATAAAGGTCCTACACGTTTCGTTCCTGTAGTGGAACTTCCTCAGGGACCAAATCAAAGTAATATTGCAACAGTAAAAACACATATAACAAAATCCTTTTTGAGTCTCTATAAATAGGGCTAATCCCTGTGTCCATTGGTGTGTTCGTGCGTGTCTCTGCCGGTCTTGGAATCCCATTGGTGTAGCTGTGGTACCTTATCAGGTGAGAGTAGTCATCTAATAATCTTCTCGGTCAAATTTGGCGCTTTTCCATGCAACCGTAACTGTTTAACATCCTGTGCTTCCGCATTTCAAATTGTCATGCGTTCCAGCTTGACAAAGTTCAGATAGGACAGCCTATTGCCATCTAGTGGTCGCCCAATAAATCACATGTAACAAGCTAATACACAATATACGTGAAGAAAAATCTACCAACAGGAGAAAGAAAACAGTTGATATCCAAAACCAAACATTAAATCGAATATTTAGCACCCCAGTAAATTATAATTCAAATATATAAGTGCCATTGATAGATTATATCCAGAATTAGACTTGGTATAAGGTGAACAAGTAATATCAAAACTTTATATAGAGTGAAAGACAATTCCTGTTCTTCTTAAAGTGACACATGCAAAATCCATAAATATAAAGATATAAATTCAGATTATGTCCCAATAATCATAAAAGATACTCCATATTCAAGGATTTAGCACACATACCTATTATTAACATAAGAAATAATACATAAATTAATAAAACATAACAATAATTCCTTATTGGAAAAATTAGGTACTATAAGCCATAACCTATAATTAAAAGTTAAACAATTGAAACAATATAATATAAGAAATGAAAAAATGGCTGTTATATAAAAAGGCACACCAAAAGGGTACATATATACCCATTTTGTTATCGAAAAAGTGGAACCAGGAGTAAGAATGATTGAGATAGATAGGAAAAGGCACTGATGTTGAAAAAAGTTAACCTCTCAATCCAGGAAGCAAACCAAATCTATATCAATATTGAGCCCTTTAAGTTCAAGTGTTTGGAGTCTATGAATCCAAAATGTCTTGCGCTGCGCCAGTTTTTTTTATTCTGTCACCTCCTCGCCAGTGTGGTAAAACTCTCTCAATCCCTATGCACCTGAGATCTCTGAATGAAAAAAGAGTGCAAGCATTACAGTGGACGGGAACAGAGTGAGTGGTCAATTTCTTTTTAATATTATTAAGATGTTCGAGTATCCTTACTTTTAAAACTCTCTTTGTACGTCCAACGTACTGTTTGCCACATGGACATTGCAGTAGATAAACAACAAAGTCCGTGTGGCAACCCATCTGTGACTTGATCTTAAAAATTTCACCTGTCACTGAACTTGAAAAAGCATGGGTTCTATCCATCAGTATAGGGGCACATGCTTTGCATGTACCACAACCCCTGAATACTCCCAATTGAGTTGGATTGTAACTATTGAAAGGCTTAAGTTTTTAACATTCTTATTTTTTCTATAAATGACTTTTGGAAAATCTGGTAAAGATGTTCCAAGAATAGGATCCTGTAATAGGATAGGCCAATAATTTTGGAGGCTCTTTTGGATTTTCCTATGGTTAATATTGTACTAAGTTATAAAGGAGGACTTGAAATTACCATTAGGGGCCTGTGGCTTTGATTTCTCCATTAATAATGTATTTCTCTCTACATATTCCATCAAACAGATTTCTTTTTCTAGAGTATTGCCATCAGTGGACTTGAAGAAACATTTGGTTCCAATTTGACCCCGGTCGCAGAATAAAGTAAGGTCAAGGAAGTTGATCTCAGACTTATTCCAAACCGGAGTAAAAACAAGATTGTAAGAATTGGAGTTGAAAAAGTTAACATAATCTTGAAATAAAGTTGAGGCCCCCTCCCAAATAATAATGACATCATCAATATAATGCTGCCAGAGCACCAGGTTCTCCCTCCAGTCATGACCAGACCACACATATAAATCCTCTCACCTCCTCATGTACGTGTTGGCATAACTGGGGGCGAACCTGGTTCCCATGGCGTTCCCTGAGATCTGCAAATAACATTCCCCATTAAAGAAAAAATAATTAGGTTCCAAAATAAAACTAACTGAAGTCAAAATTAACTTTTTCTGGTCTTCTGTTAGATCTGAGTCATGAGACATAAAATAGTCTATTGCTTCAACTCCCAACCTGTGGCTAATAACGGTATACAGAGAGGCCACATCCAAAGTGGCCCAGCTGTATTCCGAATGCCACTCCACATTTTAAATCTCTTGTAAAAAGAACTTAGTGTCCTTTAAATAGGATGGCGCTTCCTGGGCATATTTTTGTAAAAAGGAGTCTGTGAAAGCAGACAAGTTGCGGTCAGTGAATTAACGCCACTGATAATCAGGCGACCAGGGGGATTTGGGAGGCGTTTATGAGTTTTTGGAAGAAAATAAAAAATAGGAATAATTGGATTTTTTCGAAATAAAAAAAAATCTACGTTTTATTGTGTAATAACGTCACTATTTCTAGCGTCCTCTAATATGGTTTTGAGTTCCAAATTGTACTGATGAGTGGGGTTACTCTTAAGAATAATATACGTATTCCTATCTCCCAGGATATTTAATGATTCCTCTAAATAATATGTTGCAGTCATCAGGACAATGCCTCCGTCCCCCCCCCCCCCCCTAATCTGCTTCTGTGATAACCAGGTTGTCTCTCTCCATTAAGTCTTTTAAGATAAAACCTTCCCTCTTGGTGAGATTATGGGCATAAGGCCTCTGGTTGTTCTTTCCCGTAAGAGCCCTGAAATCTTGTTCGACCATCCGTTCAAATGTTTCCAAAAAAGGACCTCTACTTTGAACAGGAAAGAAATGTGATTTAGGTTTGAATCTATGGTTAATTCATGTGTCACCAGTATCAACATCAGTACCTTGGGGAGATGGATACAAGAGGTAGTGTCTTTTGATATTTAAAGAGCAAATACATTACTTTAGGTCTATATACAAGTTGAAATCATTAGCCATTTGGTTGGGAGCAAATTTCATCCCTTTAGATAATAAATCAATCTCCTCATCCAATAATGGGATGTCAGTTAAATAAAAAATTCCCTTTTCGATTTATTTTTGTCTTGAAGTACACAAGGTCCAGGGAATTCCATTTAGTCTTCCATCCTCAGCCTCTTTTGAGGAGAGTCCTGGTGTAGGAGGGAGAACTGGTTGGGATGCTCCCATGTTTCCACCCTGGGATGGAAGTAATTGGTGATGGTTTTCTCTTTGGGACCTTTTAGTCGCCCTTGAAAATTTGACTCTCATTGAATTGAGAACTATTGACATGGGTATCAGATTGGTTTCTAACAGTTTGAGCAGAAGATCTAGTCTCCCTTCCCTTATCCATTGGCAAACTATCTGTGGAGTGGAAGCGAGATCTCTCTTTTAGGGATGTTTTATGATTATAATTAGAGTTCCCATGATGAGGTTTATAGGAATCTTTACGAATTCTTCCAGGAGGAGTTTTTTGTCCACCTCTGTTGAGGGGAGACCTAGACCTTGTTTTTTTGTGGGAAAAAGGACGTGGATTCCTACGGGATAATCTATTGGCAGTGGAGAAGGTGTTAAGGGTTTTAACCTCTCTCTCCTATATCTCTTATTTTTAGTTTAAGCTATTTTCTCATCAGGTTTTTGGATATTATTCTGTAGGGACTCTTCCCTCTCCTTAAATTCCCTACTATCATGGTCTGTGGAGGGGTTAATCTCTAAATCATTTAGCTCCATTTCCAATTAATTTTGTGCTTTTTGGAGAATTTAACAATAAGTTGAATTAATTGAAAGGAGCAATTCATAAGTATCTCATCCCACTCTTCCAAGAACAGTGGGTCTTCTAACCCAAATGCTGGGGTTTTGTCTATTCTTAGACCCCAGGGTATTAGCGACCTCCTACCATTTTTTTGTTTCAATGCTTAATAATTTCTCCTTCCTTTTGTGTTACACTATGTATTGTTTAATGTTTCCAATTTAGATTTTGTATAGCCGCATCCCATGTGTTTTCTGTCTATTTATATATGCTGTTGTAAGATCGTTCTCTGGATTACGATCTTGGGAGGCCGTCGCCTTTTATTGTTGATTTAAGAGAAGTATAACCAATACTTATTCACTATACTAAAACCACATTGCGGTGTTACATTTGTTTTGTTGTTAATTCGAAGGAGAGATGGAAATAACAATAATCTATTGGTTAATATTAACTTCTTCAGTGCCAAGGCTTTTTTTTTTTTTAAATGCAACACATTTGTGACCAAGGCCTTTTTGTGACTTTTGCCATGAACTAATTCTACCATAATTCCCCCCTTACCGTTTAAGTGCACCCACAGGACCTCCACCAATACACCTGGGCCCCATACTATAAATGTGTATAGATCTATACAAGCACATGGAAGAGAGATCAAAAATCTCTCTCCCCATGCCATTGCATTCTTGCCTGCTAAGGGAAAGGGAGCCCAGGGAGCTGTCTGTCTCCTCTTCCCTCACCAGGTCCTTCCTCTCTTGCAAGCCAAGTTGTAAGAGTGTTGCTACTGGTTACCATAGCAACACTCCAACACTGTACTCTTGCAACTTGCAAGATGAGCGTGGGCAACTGGCAGAGTGTAAGCAGGAGTCAATGGACCACCAGGGAAACCATGTACCTCTTCTTGGCAGAGGTAGGCGGTAGAGAGAGGGGAAAATGATAAAATGAAGCGATTTGAATATGCAGACATCCCAACATGCAAAAACTAATTTTAGGGAGGTGGCTGCACTGCCCACACAATCACCCATGTGGGCCCCCACACACAGTCACACACAACACATCACAACTATTTGCACAAACTATTAACACACGGACATGTGCAAACACGTTGACACACAGATACACACACTGATACACAGGTATACACACTGACATATACACAACTTGACACACAGATACATGCACTGGCACATACACACAAATACACACATAGATACACACACCGCACATACTGACACATATGCGTGCACACAGATACACACAAACTGGCACATATACACAGATACACACACTGGCACATACACACCCTGACACATACGCGTACACACAGATACACACACTGGCACATACACATGCTGGCACA